GTCTACGGCGTCTGCATTCCACGGAGGCGTCTGCATTCTACGAGAACGCCAGACAGAATCCGACCCTGAACAGATGGACACTCTGTTGAGTCTGAGTCTGCCGTACGCAAGACAATCCCCTACTAGTCGCCCTCAATTCGGAGAAGAACAACGACCGAGCATCGGGGCCGAGAGGAGGAGGCTGATGTCGAGGCCAACTTTGGAACCAACCAATGGCACGGCAGCTCCAGAACACCGATTCTATTATATAAGGACCTATTCGCTGCCCATTCGGTGCTCTCCGACGATGTAGAAACTTCTGTATTAATGTAATTAAACAGAGTTAATCGTGAGAGACCCTCCCGTCTCCTGGTGATGTTCCTGCCTGGAGTCAGTTTGCGATCCCTGTCTTCGCCTGGCCCTGCCTGAGGCTGCCTCGGGAACTCCTCGGTCCCAACAATATATATATACAGGGTGTTTTTTTAAGCTTAACAGATTTGTTTAAAAAAAGCCGTGAGAGTTACACTTATGCCGTTCGTGGAGGTGAGTTATACGTCCAGGGGACATATTATAGGGGGTTCATGGTTACGATCAGTCGTCTAATTAATTAAAATTTGTGAATTAACTTTTTCATTAATGAAAATATAAATATGGTTCCAATTAGAAACTTGCTCAGCATAATCGAAAACCACTAAATCAGTCATTTTCAGAAAGACTTTCAATGCGTAAGAAACGTAGTATTGTAGTAAAGTTACCACTCGTTGAGCAGGTACAAGGCTGGGGCTAGATAAGAAACAGAAAAATCGCGCGGCCGCCTTATAGCAACCGCTAGCTTTGTACCTGCTCCACGAGTGGTAACTTTAGTGCACTACTACGCTTCTCACGCGCTCAAAGTCTTTCTGAAAATTACTGATTTAGGGGTTTTCGATGACGCTGAGCAAGTTTCTAATTGAAACTATATGTCTATTTTCATTAATTAAAAAGATAATTAACGAATTTTAGTTAAATATTCGACTTATCGTTGCGATTAACCCCCTATAATATGTCCGCCAGGCCGTATAACTCACCTCCACAAGCGGCGTAAGTCTACCCTTCACGGCTTTTTTTAAACAAATCTGTTAAGATCAATATATATATATATATATATATATATTTTTTTTTTATTATTATTCAAACAACACACGTAGAGCTTTTTCGATATCAGAAGTCGACTCGAGAGCAACAACAGCGTCTGGAAGTTTATTCCAAAAAGCTATAGCCTGTACAAAAAATTTGGTTCGAGCACTTTCGGATGATGTAAGTGCTCTGAACGGTGGCTTCTGGGTGTTAAATTTAGAGCTGTCGATTTTTAAAAAGATGATTATAAATCTAAAAAAGAAAATGATTTCAGGCGTTGGCATATTCCCCTGTTTTTCAAGGGCTGCATGTCTGCCCGCTTTCTTAGCACCGTCACAGACGTCGTAGACCTTCAATCAGAGAATATTGTACGCAGCGCAAGTGACTGAACCTTTTCCAGCTCATTAGAAAGCGTGGCTAGCTAGGGATCCCACACCTCGTAAGCATACTCCAGTGTTGATCTTACAAGAGTTTTGTAGGGAACAATCTTAACCGAGGGAAGTGTCCTATACAACTTCCTCCGTAAATACCACAGTTTTTTCGTTGCCGTTTTGGTTATATAATCCACATGTTTGATCCATTTCAGATTGCTAGTGATAACCACACTCAAGTATTTATAGGTGTCAACTTTATGAAGCCTGACACAGTCAAGCTCGTAGTCAAAATAAAATATATTTTTCTTATTCGTCAAGTGCATGTATTGCGTTCTCTAAGTGTTTGCTATCCTAATCTTTTCACTAAACCATGACAAGATGTGATATAATATATCATTTACTTCCATCTGATTGTTAACTGACGAAATGGGAGCATATATATTACAATCATCGGCAAACATTCTTACTTTTACGCGCCCGCTACTGCAGATAGAAAACAAACTGTTAACATATATTAAGAAAAGCAAGGGACCTACCACGGAGCCCTGTGGAAACCCTGAGTGCACTTTCAACAATTCCGAAAAGGTGCCATTTATATCGACGAACTGCCGACGATTTCTGAGACATGTGCTAATCCACCTTATAATCACTGAAGGAACACCGTAGTTTATTAAGACATTAATTAGATTAACATGTGGTACTCCATCGACCGCTTTTGACAGATCTATCAAAATGGCATCCACTTGCAGGCGATTATTAACATAACCAGAAATCTCATGATGGCATCCAAGTAGTTAAGTTGTTGTTGAATACCCTTTCCGAAAACCATGCTGATTGGAACTTAGGATGCCTTTGTCCTCCATAAAAGAAACTAGCTGCTTATTCACAATGTGCTCGAGTAGCTTACATGACGTACAGGTCAAAGAAATGGGGCGATAATTATCAACTGAATCACCCTTCCCGATCTTTTTCACGGGCACAAATCTTGCTAACAACCAATCGTCCGGTAAAACAGTCTCAGAGTGAAATAAAGAATGTAACTGTTAAGTATTTCGCAACACATTCATCACATCTTTTTAGAAATTCATTTGGTACAGTATCTGGTCCTGGCGATTTTGTAGTATTATTTGATAACAGATACGATACCTTGTTCTGATACAAAACCACTCACGTTAGTGCCTTCATCGTTGGGAATACTGCTAAATTCAGTTGAATCCGTCGTAAACACAGATTGAAAATAGTATTTGAATTTAGGCGACATTATGGCCCTGTCGAGCACAACGTTGTTATTAATGCGTAAGTGACTTTTCTTAGTCCGTGGTGGAGTAAGAGAACGCCAAAACTTTTCAAGGGAGGATGAAATGAATTATGGCAATGGCTTAGTAAAATAAGCTTGCTTGGCTAGCTTTATCGATGTTTTTAACTTGTCACTCTGCTCACAGACAGCAGGAGAATGGCGCTTTCGAAGCCTCTTTACTTTACGTTTTTTCTGCAAAATTGTTCTTGTAATCTATGAATTGTTGCGTTTTGTCGTTGTAGTTTTTTTTTTTGGTATAAAGTTTAGGATGCAGTGCTCAGTGATACTTTTAAAATTCAACCACATTTCATTTACACCACTGTGATTCTCAAACCCGTCAAGACGCTCTTCCAGATAATCAGTAACAGACTCGTCATTAGCACTTTCGTAGTCATAATGATGTTTTACTTGAGCTGAATCTTTTTGGCAAACATTCATGTCGCACTGAAAAAAACACCAGTTTGTTATCAGATATCCCATCATGAACGGTGACGCTACAATGATCAAAACGTTTGCTAACAAACAACAGATCGACCAAGCTGCTTGAGGTTTCAGCAATTCCCGTAGGTTTTTCGACAGTTTGTCGAAGACACCGACCAAATGCAATGTCTACGAGCACTTCAGATAGTTTAGTTCCTGGACAGGCGACGCCCTCATCCGACCAGCTTACGTCGGGTGCATTTAAATCTCCCCCGATAACTATTCTACGACACTTGTCGGTATTAGCTAGCAAATATTCTAGGATATGGTTTAAATCACCCGGCGGCGAGCCGGGTTCTCTGTATACTGTTCCAAGTGTTAGCCACCTTAAAAAAAATTATTTGACAACAAACACTTTCGAAATATTCAATTGATTTCATAGAACTGTACACTCATCTTCTTTAACGGCTATAGCTACCCCCCCCCCCCCCTTTCCCTTCCCCCCAGTGCTACGTCCCTTCGTATTAATCTGTAGTTTGGGTGCCACTTCCGAGTCTTAAATATTGCCATGTGACCAGGTTTCAGTTATCATTATGACATGTGGGTCGCAAAAAAAAAAAATAACAGCTTCAATTTGTTCAGCTTTATTCGCAGCGCTCCTTGCATTGAGGCATATCAGACTCAACTCCTTTGGTTCCGGCAAGAGCCGTCATGCTGTGGAACTCGTTTGCTGACGGCTTTCCTGCTGGCTTTCCGAACCCAACTTAACCTTGTCATTTTCGTTGAAATCCGAAACGTAGAGCTCCTTGTTTATTTTAGTTTATCGTAGGATAGTGAAACTCTCTCCCCGTGATTTCTATTTGAGAGAGAGCTTTTTCAGAGAAGCCTTCTGACAGAGCGCACATGGAAAGAAAAATCTTTCCCTATTGAGATTCGAGTGCCGTTTAGCTTTCTTCCATTTTGAAGTATAAGTTGCTTTTCACGATAATCCATGAGTTTTAATATCACAGGATGCTGCGAGCTAATTTTTGGCTTCCCGAGGTGATGAACTCATTCCATATTAGTTATTGTAACCCCTCACTTATTCTTGAATAATTCTTTTAGTACTACATGATTAAGGATATACGAATTTTCGTTTGTGTTTTTGTTTAAGCCGTATCTTGGCAGGCGGTTTTGCGTTCCCTGTTTTCTAGATCGTCGATCTTTTGTTCTAGGGCGTGCACATGATTTTGAAGTGCTTCAACCTTTGCTTCTAACCGAGATTCGGTCGCGGTAACCTTGGAGGTCAAAGTTTCTATCTTTTCTTCTAAGCCATTCTTCCGTTTTGAGAGAATGTCAACATTCTCTCTTATTTGGAGAAAACTTTCATGATCAGTTGGTCCCGGGTTTGCCTTCATATCCCCGCAAAGCAAAAGACTAAGCACGCATGCACAGTCCCTCAGCAAAACGAAAAAGCGCCTTGGGCTCGGCACAACTATCAGGAATATAACGCTAGTTTTAAACAGTTTGGATACTGGTCTCCAACTAACCTGCTACAGAAGGACGGGTGCTTGAGCCATTCTTTCTTTGAAGCGAGTGCTGAGACCACTGCCGTATCCGCGAGTGAGGCGTTCGTTTATAGGCAGCGCTTGCAGTGCCGTTGACGAGGAACTTCCGTATGAGGGTGACGGTTGCAGAACTGGCACGTGCTATGGCTCCGTGGCCGTGATCGTGTCGTAGATACGGCTGGTGGTGATATTTCCATGGGCAGCCCCGATGACGCGGTCTTCGGATGGGCCGTGCTCGGTACAGATCAGTAGCATGGTCAGCACCTGTTACAGAAGGGCGGGTGGTTTAGCCATTCTTTCTTGAAAGCGAGTGCCGAGCCCACTGTCGTATCCGCGAGTGAGGCGTTCCTTTATAGGCAGCGCTTGCCGCGCCGTTGACGAGGAACTTCCGTATGAGGGTGACGGTTGTAGAACTGGCACGTGCTGCTGCTCCGTGGCCGTAATCGTGTCGTAGATACCTCTGGTGGTGATAGTTCCATAGGCAGCCCCGATGACGCGGTCTTCTTTGGATGGGACGTGCTCGATACAGATCAGCAGCATGGTCAGCACCTGGTACAGAAGGACGGGTGGTTTAGCCATTTTTTCTTGAAAGCGAGTGCCGAGCCCACTGTCGTATCCGCGAGTGAGGCGTTCCTTTATAGGCAGCGCTTGCAGTGCCGTTGACGAGGAACTTCCGTATGAGGGTGACGGTAGCAGAACTGGCACGTGGTGTTGCTCCGTGGCCGTAATCGTGTCGTAGATACGGCTGGTGGTGATAGTTCTATAAGCAGCCCCGATGACGCGGTCTTCTTCGGATAAGCCGTGCTCGGTACAGATCAGCAGCATGGTCAGCACCTGGTACAGAAGGACGGTTGGTTTAGCCATTCTTTCTTGGAAGCGAGTGCCGAACCCACTATAGAGCAACCCCACAAGTAGTGAAGGCAGCTCAAACTGCTGTCCAAAAGACAATTCTAGATTATTCTCTAAACACTTCGACCTATCAAGGCTCCCGATGGTCTTAAAGAACCGCATAAAGGAACCAGGTACATTGCGCGCATGTACACACGAGGACTGCTGAAATCGGGGTCGGCGCCATGGCCGCGGCTCGTCACGGCCTGACGGGCAGACTGGCCGCCCCAGTAACAGAGACGCCTCCGCTTTTGGCGCTGAATGCAGTACTCTCGTGGCGCCACCTGGCCATTGCCGGCTGTGTTGAGAGATTTTACTTATTTCTCTGTAAAAATTAATATTTTATTATACGGAATACTACATTAGTGTGGCGTGTTATTTGCAACGTTGCGACCCGCCTCGCCAAAACTGCCCGTTCTAAGCTGTCGTCACAAATAGCTGCTAACACGGACGCGCTCAAACATTCTTCGACAATTTTTTTATTAGACTTTGTAGTTACCTTAAGCAAGTTTCCGTATTCTGTATTTTGGAAGTGCTTGGAGCCAATAGCCATGTTCTTTGCAACGGCCTTAAATCGCGAACCTATTCCTGATGTCTAATGTTCGGCGTGTATCGCAGCGCGACCAGTTTTATCCTACTTAGGGCAAAGAATAGAAAATTCGCACACTTTACGCTACCTCATTGAAAAATCTCCTTTATATGAGAAATTGTTGTGTCCAATAAACAGACAGGAATCATGCAATTTATATGAGAAAATATAAGATCCATATACGAACCTTTTAAGAACTATATTGCCACCCGCAGAGCCGAGAAGGCAACGCTCGGTCACGGTCTTCTAGAAGATTCCCGGTCATTCTCGCAGCAGACGTAACTTTGATGCCATCTGCTCCAGCAACATTGTCGTCTGCTGCGTCAACGATCTTGTCGTCTGCTTCAGCAACCTTGTCGTCTGCTTCGGCCACTTTTTCGTCTTCCTCAGTAACTTCGTTTTCTGCTTCATCTGCCGTGCTCTTGCTCTGTTCGTCCGGTCCCGACCGCTGTTCCTGGTCGTCGTTAGTACCTTCGTTACCCTCGTCGTCGTCGTCATCATCATCATCATCGTCAGATTCCGTGTGCTTGGTATCCTCCTTGTTGCCTTCCTTGCCCGTCTGCTTTTTCTTGTCCTTGAGCTTCGCCTTGCGCTTGAGCCGTTTGGCGCGTTTCTTGGCCGTTCTCTCCTCGGCCAGTCGCTTGTTGCGCTCGACGCGTTCGCGGAACTCCTGGTCTTTTTCGTCCTGGCGCGCCTTCTGGTCGATGTACTTCTGGCGTGCGTACTCCTTGCGACGTAGGTGCCGGTAGACGTGAAACTCACCCGACCCGGCGCCCGCGCTGCTTCCCATCACGTTTCGGACGAATTCGGGGGCGTCGTGGGGACTGCGGCCCTTGGGGCGGTCCGGTATCAGAACGGGTTTGTCCGGGTTTTGCATGAGGCGCTCGAGTTTGAGTCGCTGGACGTCGTACACGGTTTTGGGGACCACCACCGTGCCTTGTTCGGGTTTCTTCTTTTTGGGAGGTGGTTTCGAAACGACGCCGAGAACGGCGTCTTCGCCGGGCTCTGCGTCTGCCATGACGCACGTTTTCTGCTACTTTACCGGCTTTCACTGGTTGTTTTCGGTGATGGGGTACGTACTGAATGAATAACCGGGAGCTTGAAATGTGTCTCGTGGACAATAACGACACAACTGTGATAAACTGACGGAGCCCGATGCTGCTTAGCTTCGGTGATCGGACGAGAACCGGCGTATTCAGCATGGTATGGCCGATGGCGAACGACGCCAATATCCTCCACAAACGTCGGAGGGCTCCCACACTAGCCACGAGACGGATAGGAACGACGGTTCTTCGACGGTGTCGAATAACCTCGACGTTACCATCGACGGCCACGACGCGAAGGCGCTCATCGACACCGGAGCAGACTATTCGGTTTTAAGTGGGAAGCTCTCTCGCCGCCTTCGGAAGGTGATGATGCCGTGGGAAGGTCCGAAAATACGAACCGCCGGTGGACATCTCATCACACCAGTGGGAAGGTGTACTGCGCGCGTGAACATCCACGGAGAGACCTGCCCCGTGAAGTTCGTCGTCCTCAAAGACTGTTCGAGAGACGTCATCCTTGGCATGGACTTCCTTTGTGAGTACGGTGCCGTGATCGACCTTGGAGCAAACAGGTTGACGCTGCGAAAGCCCGTGCTACCTCCGGAGGAATCCAAAACGTCGCCAGCCGCCGTCCGAGTCATTGCGGACCACGTGAACCTGCCGCCACGGTCGAGTGTTCTTGTGCCCGTCGTTACCGACGCAGTTGCCAGCGGGAAAGTCCTTCTGGAAGGCAACGTCCAACTGCTTATCGGAAGAGGAATAGGCGTCGCAAGGGGCGTAGCAGAGCTGCAGGATGGACGTTGTGTGGTCCTCGCGACGAACTTTCGACCGGAGGCGCAGCATCTCACGAAAGGTGCCACTATAGGACACGTCGAGGAACTCCGGGCCGACGCCGAAATCGCCACGATCTCCGAAGAGCCGTCCAGTACAGTGTCGCAACAGCTTGACGTTAACCCCAAGCTCAGCGCCACGGAACGACGACAGCTCGGAGACCTCCTCGCCGAGTTCGGCGACTGCTTTGCGACGACGTCGAGGGTGCGCCAGACAACAGTTGCGAAACACCGCATCATTACCAACGAGGACGCGCTCCCTGTGCATCGGCCGCCGTACCGGGTCTCCCCAAAGGAACGAGAGGCCATTCATGAACAAGTACAGGAGATGCTCAACGACGACATCATTCAGCCTTCGAGCAGCCCGTGGGCCTCTCCAGTTGTGCTGGTAAAGAAGAAAGACGGAACGCTTCGATTCTGCGTTGACTACCGGCGGCTCAACGCGGTCACGAAGAAAGACGTGTATCCGCTCCCCCGCATCGACGACACGCTGGACCGGCTGCGCCACTCCCGATACTTTTCGTCGATGGACCTTAAGAGTGGCTACTGGCAGATCGAAGTCGACGAACGAGACCGAGAAAAGACTGCCTTCGTCACGCCCGACGGACTGTTTGAGTTCAAGGTGATGCCCTTCGGACTGTGTACGGCGCCGGCAACGTTCCAACGTGTCATGGACACCGTCCTGGCAGGCCTCAAGTGGCAGAGCTGTCTCGTTTACCTCGATGACGTCGTGGTATTCTCGGCCAACTTCGACGAGCATTTACGACGCCTTCGGGCCGTTTTAGAGGCAATCAGGACCGCTGGACTCACACTCAAGCCGACGAAGTGCCGGTTTGCCTACGGCGAACTGAAGTTCTTGGGCCACGTTGTGAGCAACGAAGGTGTAAGTCCTGACCCTGAGAAAACTCGCGCCGTAGCAGCCTTTCCACCGCCCACCGACAAAAAGGCCGTCCGAAGATTCCTTGGACTTTGCGCATACTACCGGCGATTCGTTCAGGATTTCGCCAAGCTTTCTGCGCCGCTAACGCGCCTTACGAAAGACGCCGTGGACTTCGAATGGGGTGGAGAACAACAACAGGCATTCGACGAACTAAAGCGACGGCTCCAGTCACCACCGATCCTCGGCCACTTCGACCAATCAGCCGAAACGGAGGTCCACACGGACGCCAGTAATACAGGACTCGGAGCGGTACTGGTCCAACGACAAGACGGTGCGGAGCGCGTGATCGCATACGCTAGCCGGACGCTGTCGAACGCGGAACGCAATTACTCAACGACCGAGAAGGAATGTCTGGCCGTCGTCTGGGCCATCACGAAATTCCGCCCATACCTGTACGGAACTCCTTTTCGGGTGGTCACCGACCACCATTCGCTGTGTTGGTTAGCGAGCCTGAAGGACCCATCGGGACGCCTCGCTCGATGGAGCCTACGACTGCAGGAGTACGACGTAACCGTGGTCTACAAGTCAGGCCGAAAACACAGCGACGCCGACTCCCTGTCCAGAGCCCCTGTCGAGTCAGCTACCGGATGTGCCAAAGACGACGACGACGACGACCACTTTCTTGGCGCGGTGAGCATTCACGGCATGGCAGCGCTCCAGCGGGACGATCCTGAGTTGCGTGCATTGATCGACCACTTGGAGGGACGAAGGGGTACGATTCCCCGAGCCTTCTCACGTGACCTGCCAAGATTCACCGTCCGGAGAGGTATCCTCTATAAAGAAAACTTCAGGGACAACAACTCGACGTGGCTGCTGGTGATTCCTGCCAGTCTTCGAGAAGAGATCTTCCAAGCCTGCCACGACGACCCAACATCTGGTCACCTTGGCTACAGTAGGACCCTTGCACGGATCCGAGAAAAATACTACTGGCCCAAGCTTCCGAAGACTGTCCACCTCTACGTCCGTTCGTGCCACGAATGCCAACGACGCAAGAAACCACCGACGAAGCCGGCAGGTCTCCTGCAACCGATCGCGCCCCCGATTGCACCATTCCAGCAGGTTGGAATGGATCTTCTCGGACCTTTCCCACCGTCGGCGCAGGGAAACCGGTGGATAATCGTGGCAACTGATTATCTCACCAGGTACGCCGAGACAAAAGCACTCCCGTCGGGGACCGCCGTGGAAGTAGCCAAATTCTTCGTGGAGTCTATCGTCCTCCGACACGGCGCTCCCCAAGTCCTGATTACGGACCGAGGATCCTCGTTCATGGCGCAACTGACACAAGAGATACTCCGCCTGAGCCACACCGACCACCGCCGGACCACGGCATACCACCCGCAGACCAACGGGCTGACGGAGCGACTAAACAAGACCATCGCCGACATGATTTCTATGTACGTGGACGTGGAACACAAGACGTGGGATGAAGTGCTGCCCTACGTCACGTTTGCGTACAACACGGCGATTCAAGAAACTACCGGCGTTACACCCTTTCAGCTGGTGCACGGCAGAAAGGTGACGACGATGCTCGACGCCATGCTGCCCCACGATCCAACGGACGACGGCACCGACGACGCCCAGCTGGTCACCCAACGAGCAGAAGAAGTACGACAGCTAGCCCGTCTTCGAATAAAGATCCAGCAACGTGTCGACGCAGGCCGCTACAACCTCCGCCGCCGCGACGTGGAGTTCCAGCCCGGAGACAGGGTATGGGTGTGGACGCCCATTCGCCGCCGCGGCCTCAGCGAGAAGCTGTTAAAGCGCTACTTCGGACCTTACAAGGTCATCCGCCGCCTTGGGGACTTGAACTACGAGGTGCTCCCCGACGGAACTCGAACATCAGGACGCCGCCAGCCACGACCCGAAGTCGTCCACGTAGTTCGACTCAAGCCGTTCTACGCGCGTTAGGATTGTGAAACTGCATGTTTGTTTTGTTTCGCCGTAATTGTTTTAGCCATTTCCGTTTTCCTTTCGTTTTGCATCGGGGCGATGCACTTTTAAAGGGGGGATAATGCCACCCGCAGAGCCGAGAAGGCAACGCTCGGTCACGGTCTTCTAGAAGATTCCCGGTCATTCTCGCAGCAGACGTAACTTTCCTTCTGCTTTGTTATTCTCGAAAGTGCCAGTTCATCCTCGCCCCGAGCGCGCGACGCTCGAACCTTCTTTGCCGAACTTTCGAGATAGTGACGCAGGGTAGATAAGCGGCTCCCGCGACCTTGTCGAGTCAGTCCCAGTTTCGCTAGCGCTCTGTAGTGCTGCCGAACCGCCGCCCGCTTTTCTGCTACCTCGACGCTCTTTAGTTATTTATTTTTGGTTGGCACAAGTTCGCCCATTAAATCTTTATTTTCAGTTCACTGTTCGGCTTTTCGTCACCTTCATTCGTGACAATATAAGCTATAAAAGAACACAAGAACCATGGTAGAAACTTCTGAGAAGTTCCTTATATGGTTCTTATATGTTCTTCTATGTCTTAGATAGTTCTTACTTATCTTGTATAATTCATGTGTGTTTCTTGAACTCAAGTTTCTCGTACAAATGACTTTTTTATCCATTTGTACACTACTATCGGGAGCTTTTGCGTTGAGCATAGATTAAGCTGAGGACCACACGACAAGAAATTCGCAGCGTGTGGAATATACGAAGAGTCCTTAATGAAATTAGACATCCCGGTCCCCTCGTGCAACGCTGCTGCGAGGCGGAACAGAAGAGTTCCTATTCACAGGTGGGCCGTCGACTGTTCCGCGCACGGCCCACCTGTGACGTGGCTGAGCAAAACGAAAGCCTCCGTAGTACATATGCTGCACCTTATCCGTCGCACCACAGCTAAGGACTGGCGCGCCGACACCCACACATTACGCATGCTTGTCAGGAGCCTCATCCAAGCCAAGATGCTTTACGGGGCACAGCACGTAGGCATCACCAGGAAATAGAGTGAGGCCCTAGAGGTCCTTAATCGGCGTGTCATGCGTACCGTCACGGGCCTGCCGAACTTCACGCCGGTTGACACGCTGCGGGCCCATGCTGGACTCAACACCATTGGAGACCTGTTACACGAGGCATGCCTCGGGCAGCACATCCGCCTTTCAAGGTCCAGACCGGGACGATCCATTCTCGGGTTACTGGGCTTGCGACCCGTTCAGGGAGTTCAGCCACAAGCCACACCCCCTCCACCTTGAAGTCTGCCATGCCTGACCTCCGGCAAGCCGACGCCATCCCATGCTGGAGGCGGCCATCCGGGCCGCCGACGATCCCAAGCTGCGGCGCACGAACGTGACGTCAACGCCGACGGCCCCGAAGTACGCAGATACTACTGTGACGCGGCCACGGAT